TCGTGCAAGGCCTGACACAATTCTCAACTCAGTTTCTCTAGAGCACTGGCCCAGCCGAGCACAGTGACAGCAGAGCAGAGCACACTCAGGAGGTGGAAGCAGGAGAATCAGGACTTCAAAGTCATCACAGGCGCCAAGGTAAGCTGGCGGTTAGCCTAGGCTATGAGACCAAGTCTCAAGCAAGCAAACAAAAGAAAGGGGGAACATCGTCCATTACAGGGCCACTCAGGCAGAAGGAACCCAGGGTCAGAGAGGTTCCATTCACTCTGCTCTGTGGTATACTGTCTCCAAAGCTCAGAGGAGACCTTCACTCAGAGGTCTGATTCCGTTTTCACCCCATCTAGGCTCTAAGCCAGGGTCTACCCTGGGACTTCAGGGTCCAGTGCTGTGTCCCAGCTTCCTTGGGAACACTCATCCACTGCATGGTGTCACCTGCACTGATCTAGAAAGAAGGACCCCTTCATCGAGACCTCTGGAGACTCCTCTGGCCTTGCTTACTTACTCTGTGGCATGAGGACAAATGGAAGACATAGGTAACCAGTAAGCAAGCTCCCAAGAACCACCCTCCATGGTGGGCTGTTATTTCTTGGTGGTAGCCGCAGCCTGTTCAGGGGATGGAGACTGGGGCAGGCTGGCCCTGAGACAGGTGGCAGGAAGCCCCGTCTACTTCAAGATTCACCATTGGCACAGAGTCCTGAGAATGCTGTGGAGCGATGCCTACAGGACTGATCAGACCTGCGCCTGAACTCCCTCGCTCTTCGTTTCCCTGAAGGCGCTAACTGGGAATGACTCTGAAGATCAGTAAGGTTGCTACGGGAGGAGGAGGATGTGGAGCAGAAACAGGACAATCTGGGCAAGTCTCGGCTGTCACACTCTGTAGCTTTGTGGCCATGGGTAGATAGTCAGACCTCCTGGCTCCATTTCTCATAAGCATTAGCAAATGGGGAAGTTATTGCTGTGGTCAGCAGTAGCAGGTGGTCAGGGTCCTAGAGGTCAATGGGATTTATATCTAAGAGCTAGGCTGCCCACTTAGGTTCCTTGCTCAGTTCCTATTCTGTGTCTCACTTCTTCCAGTAAAGTGGGGCTTGGATGAAGGAACCCCTCAAAGCTCTTTGGTCCAAATTGTCTCACTGTGGGTTTTCAGCATCTCAGACTACAGCACTGAGCACCAGCAAAGATCTCCTGGATGCAGCCAGCCTGTTCTCATCCCCGCTTTCTCCACTGTCTAGGCCAGGAAGCTGCCTGTGGTCAGGCCACTGGGCATAGAGGACCACATGTCCACATCACAGCCGCCCGGTCTAGGCTTCACCCTGTGTGAGTACGAGTCTCTGACTGCAAGCAGACAGATGCAGGCTGAGGGTGCAGCGAGTTGCAGTTCTTTGCCAACGGCACTGCAGTCCTCATTCTGCACAATTCAGAATGTTCTGGTTTTTCCTGTTTGTTTATTATTTTCTCTGTCATACTTGCTGCGGGAGAAACTCCAGCTCTTAGGGAGAAAGTGTAAGTATTCTTTCTCTCCAAGTCATGAGACTCGGTTTCATAATTCGGGGTTGTCTCATGGTAGCAAATTATCTTCCACAGCAGTGGGAAGTGTTCCCGGCAGTGTTCAGTGTCT